AGGCCAAGGCCAAGGACCAAGGACCGACCTTCGGTCCTCGAGCCGGTCCTCGAGGCCAAGGACCGGCTCGAGGAACACATCCCTGCTCTTGGCCCCCGCCAATCCACCTTTCCCAGTGACCCTGCACAGGTTAAGCAGTATTACAAATAGTTGGTACACGGGACCAGCTTCTCAATTTGGCAGCAGACTCGGTTTTGGGTCTGTTCCGAGTGTCTTGCTTGCTCTTTTTCATTTTTATCACACTAATTGAGTCTGGCTGGGCTTGCTGGCAATGTGTTTTTGGACTTCCCAACATGTCGCCGAAGGTGTCCGCTCGCCAATGGCCGGGCTCCATCTTCGCGGCCTGTTTCTGCTCACACAGGCGGGACGGCGAGGATCTTTTCCCACTGCGCCTCCTTGTCACTTTCAGCACTCTGGCACGCTCCAACAAAGTCACCCCCACACCTACCCCTCCTTTATTCACACGGACACAAATATCCACATCCACGCCGTCATTAGCGCGCGCGCACAGACACACACACACACACACGAGCGTGTGCACACAGCGAGAGTCAGATTGCGTGTGTTCCCTCCCAACTGTGCCTCAGAGGACCGTGAGCGTGTGTTGCACAGACGAGGACACGCACACACAAACGCGAGTCCTGCTACACACTCCCCATCACTGCTGGCATCCTGGGAGGGACACGCGAGAGGGAGAGCGAGCACGAGCATATGTTGGATCGACGTTTGTCGGAGGGGGGGATATTTCTCTTTGGATGTTGTCTCACAAGCTCTGACGGCGTGGCGCAGAAAGAAGTCGTTTTTTTTCTTTTTTTTTTTCTCCCCCGTCCAATTTATTAATCCTTTTAGGCGATGTTCTCTGTTCAGAAATGCAAATTGAATCAATCTGAGGCTGACTTTAAGACTTTTCAAGTGGGATTTAATTAGAAGCCAGGGCCTGCAGTTTTTAATGAGAGAGGGGGTGGAGAAACGGAGAGAGAGAGAGAGAGAGAGAGAGAGAGAGAGAGAGAGAGAGAGAGAGAGAGAAAAGATTCATGGGGAGGGAGAGTGGGTTTGCGGTTTTGATCTGGGGTCCTGCTGGAGAAAGGATACACAAACACCCACAACAAACACACACACACACACACACACACACACACACACACACACACACACACACACACACACACACACACACACACACGAAGTTAGAAACATGCGCACATGCACGCAAATTCACCCTGTGTTTGGTTTTTCCCTCATCTCCGTCTTCCGAGAGTTCATGCAGACATCTTTTTTCACTTGAAATTACATCTCCAAATCTGCCGCCCAAAAGTTCGTCAGTGTTAAAGGAATGACGCTTGACTTTGGACTTCAATGATGTTTTGAGCGGAGGAGGGCAGGGTTGGAAACATGGTACAATACAGATGTCTGTTGAAGGGGAAAAGTTCACTTTTGGAAATATTCGGACCAAAATATCAGAGAATTAATCCTGTGGATGTTTGCGAATCTTATTTTATACCCTGTTGGATTCTATCAGTTCAAAGCAGTTTCATGTACTCTGGGTGGGAAGAACAGGCCGGTTCGACAAATGTACTTTCAAATTAAGGCTTTCGGTCGTGAAAGTCTAAAGATTGGGAGAACATTTCCAGTGAAGATACCTTTGACCTACATCAAGCGTAAACACTTGAGATCTCGTCTGAAATCAAGAATTAGCGACTCATTTGAAATGGCGCCCATGAAGTGTACTGATTTGACCTCAACGATAAAAAATTCCTCCCGCTCTGACAAAAGGCCATGAGCCTCAAAGCCTGAAAAGTGGTTGAAATTCCATAGCGACATTGTCTGTGACCGAGCTGCCCCAAACACTTAAAAGGTTGGGAATCTGTAAAGTTGTCGGC